ACCAGAAAGAGATGTGCAGCTTAGCTCATATAAATGCTAGCTCATCACCCGCACACACACAAAAAAAAAAAAAAAAAAAACCCATGCAGAACTCATAATGGGTGCCCTGGAATGCTCCAGTTAGGTGGGCATTTTAAATTGCAACTGTGCTGTCAGATGAAAAGAGCTGGGCAGAAGGGCAACAATGCCATTTGCTTCCTTTATGCAAGTTCCCTCTGGCTGCTACTTCTGAAAGTATTCAAGTGGGAATTTTGAATCAATAATGCAGGCTTAAAGAACAATTTTTTTTGGTAAGGAATAATGTACAATTATTTAAGAAAATACTCGAGGTCAGTGCTTCTCGACTTCTTATTCACAGGAATCCTTTTGTGTCTCTTGTTAAAAGACCACCATGCTCAGTGGGTCAAACTGGGGCCTGAAATTCTGCACCTTTAGCACACTCCTGGGGAGCCCATGGGCTACACCTCAAAGGGCATATTTAGAATGAGAGATTTAATTTATTAAAATGTATCCATGGAAAATTTAATACACATATACAATCTCTTGATCATACTCATTTCCCACTCCCTGCTCCAACTCCTGCTGGACCCCCTCCCACTAGAGCCCCTCCCAACTTCACGTCCTCTGCTCTTTTTTAACCCCCTCCCTCCTTCATCCACCTGTAACGTTCACAGGCTTGATCTCATGCAGGGCTTGGGCAGGCAGCTGCAGCCACTGTGAGTTCATGGTGCCAACAGGGCTCCCCAACTCCTGACTCTCACAGTCGCTCCACCCCCTCTTCCACGCTATTTCCTGAGCCTGTGGGGCGGGGGGAGCCTGACTCCGCCAGCTGGACTTGATTTTAATCACCACACCTTTAGTTCTCTCTACAGGCTACCTTGGTGGCATTAGCTACATAAAGCATTGCTGAAACCTCAGCTGGTAGAAATCCGCATCACTGATAGAGTGTTTGCTTTCATCTTACCTATACTCTGGTAATGCCATCGAAAGAAAATTCGTTCAGGTAGAAACTGCAGTATTTTCTACAAAATAAAAATTTATAAAAATGAAATACATTTTTGTGATAGGCCCATATTACTTACCTCCCCTTCAACACACAAATAAATAAATAGGTGTAAGTTTAAAATATATGTAAAAATCTCATAAAATTAATGCCTCCAAGTAGGTCTTAAGATTGTACTTATGAAAGTATCCATTAGTGGGCAACAAACAAATTCCTGAAGAACAGGAAGACTGGGCTAATAAAAGTAGCCCTCACTACCAAAAGCTGGCTGTTGAGTGAGGGAGTCAGCTCTTCAGGGATATGGCCCCCAGAGACTACCTACGCTCCAATGGATGATCCTATGCCCATGCTAACAAGAAGTACTAAGTGATACCACGGATTTAAAAACAGAGCATATGAAGTTGGGCGGGGAAAGGGAAGAATTGAAGGGGAATTTGAAAAGGGAGTGGATTTAATCAAAATACATTATATTTATGTATGAAATTCTCAAACAATTTTTTTTTTTAAAGATTTGATTTTGCTCACACACACACACACACACACACACACACACACACACACACACACACACACACACAAATCCAAAACCCAAATCAATCCTCCCTCTGACCCCCACTCCAGAGCACAATCTGGTAAATTATACTTAGATTCTAAGATTCCTTTATTTTTAATATAATTACTTAAACTATTCATTGTATTTCTGTATTTATTGTTGAGGGGTCAGAGGACAACTTTGGGAGTCAGTTTTCTCTTTACACATGTGGGTAACAGGGACTGGAGTGGGTTGTCTGGCTGGCAGCACATACCTTTGCCCACTAAGCCAATTCACTGTCCCAGCAATTACTCTTTTTTAATACAGAAAACTGCAAATGGTCAAAATATATCTATTGTCATTGGTGATACGTTATCACTGTGGGACGAAAATCCCTATTCTTGCATCCTGCAGATGTGTGAGTCTATAATCGCAGCATTCTTACAGGGATATGGGAGGCAGAGACAGGAGAATCTCTGGAAGTTAGCTTGCTGTAAGCAGCTGTGAACAACAGCAGAGCTTGCCTCAACCTAGGTGGAAAGCAAGAACCAACAACTGTCTTTTGACCTCCAGGTACACACTGTGGCATGTGCACACCTGTAAACACACACATAAGCATGCAAAAATGAACACTTACACACACATACATACATACATAGACACTTCAGTTGTTTGAACGTAATTGGCCCCCATAAACTCACAAGGAGTGGTACTATTTGCAGGTATGGCTTTGTTGGAGTAGGTATGGCCTTGTTGGAGGAAGTGTATAACCATGGGGGTGAGCTCTGAGGTCCCATATATGCTCAAGGCACGGCTAGTGTCTCAGACCACTTTCTTATTTTTTTTTATTTTTTTTTTATTTTTTTATTTTTTTTTGGTTTTTCGAGACAGGGTTTCTTTGTGTAGCTTTGCGCCTTTCCTGGAACTCACTTGGTAGACCAGGCTGGCCTCGAACTCACAGAGATCCGCCTGCCTCTGCCTCCCGAGTGCTGGGATTAAAGGCGTGAGCCACCACCGCCCGGCCAGTCTCAGACCACTTTCTGTTTGTTGCCTGTGGATCAAGATGTAAGAACTCTCAGCTCCTTCTCCAGCACCATGTCTGCCTGCATGCTGCCATGTTTCCCACCATGACAATAATGGACTAAACCTCTGAACTGTGAGTCACCTCACTTAAATGTTTTCCTTTATGAGAGTTGCTGTGGTCATAGTATGTCTTCACAATAATAGAAATCCTAACTAACACAGACATACACATACACATAAATAATTTTTTTAGACAGTATCTCTCTATGTAGCCCTGGCTGTCCTAGAACTCACTATGTAAGTCAGGCTGACCTTTAACTCACAGAGAACCACCGACCTCTGTCTCCTGAGTGCTAGGATTGAAGGTGCAGGCCACCATGCACAGCTTTAAAGAATTACATTTAAAAGGGGATCAGAAGATGTGAAAGTCAGTTCTAACTACTGAGAGCCTCATAGTTGCTGTGCAAGTGCTCTACCATGGAGCCACATCTCATCCCTAAAAAGTCAGTTCTCTACAAGCCAGCTCCTTAAACTATGGGGTGCAACTCCAAATAGCATCATCTAACAGTGTAGCAGTTACAAAAAAGTTGGCAACAGTCCAAGGTTTCTGAACAAGCAACAACCAAAAACTAATTCAAATCAAACATCATTAGAATGAATCTAAGGTATGGCTAGCAGTACTCGACCGTGTTGTACTGCACAATTTCACTGCCAACTTGGTTCAAAATACACAACACACACACTCTGCACTTCCTGAAACACCACAGCTCAGATCTGAAACTACTGTATGTTTATGAACTCTAGTGCTTTTATGAAGTATACACGTTTTTTTGCTCATATAGAAACACAATGGTTTAATTATAGGCAACAAAGAATTCCATTATTTCCTACAAACATTCTTCAGAACATAAACATTAAATTAGTGCATCTTTGGTTTGTATTGCATTAGTGAGCTTGATTCTTAAAACTGTTAGTTGAGTTCAAAATCATTAAATGAACGTTGGCACAAGATTAGGACAGCATTTCTAGCAATTTCTAAAGTGGCCTTAATGCATTTCCGCTACTTTATACTACGTATTTTTGCAGAGTGGCATCCTCAGCATTGAAAGTCAGAAAATAGAAACAGTGATCAACTGTGAAAAACTCTGAAGACATCCTATATCTTACTTCAAATACTCCGCTAAAATCTAATTCTTAAGATAAAAACAAATAAGCACATCTATCTTATTTATATGCAAATATGATTCCAACTTTAATAAATGGTAAAACTATGTGTATATCAAAGAATTATTTTAAAATGAGTTTCTTTGTGATCTATTATCAATAAATGTTTCATTTGAATACCTATTTTATACCTATATAACCGAGGTAGAGTAAAAATTTCTCTGACAAAAGAGGATCATGAGTAGAAAAAGTTTAGGAAGTCCTGCTTTTTAGGATGACAATTAAAACTCACATGAGCCTTGTTCTACCAAAAGGATATAATCTTTAATGCCCCTGTACCCGCTCCCCCACTCCCCCACGCCGTGCCTGTGGAATACAACACATGGGAGCAAGAGCCCACAGAGATGAATAGTCACAGCCAGCTGGAAATTGGAACTCTGGAACTGGACTAAAATGAAGGACTCCATGTCTAGGCTGCTTCCAGACCAAACAACTCAAGAGCCACCTATAGCCACAACAGGGTCAAAGTCAGTCAGTGTCTTTGGTAACAAATTAACAAGAATCTTTGCAAGACAAGTTCTTTGGAAAATCTGCTACAACGGAGTTACTAGAAACAGATGACAGAAGAGTAGCACCAGGGAAGGAATGGGAAGGAAACAGGGTGAGCAGGGGAGCCACTGTGAGCTGAGACGGAGCTCTAGAGCAAAGGCCCAAACAACTAGAGGTGAGACCCTAGACTCCAGCCTAATGGAGAAGAGAGTGTGAGCAGGGCTGGACGGCTGAGGCACTAACAGCCAGAGGCTATCAGTGGGTGCCACTCTTGTAAGGGGTGGCAAACCCTTGAAGGGGAATCTGAGCAACACATCTTTTTGTGTGCCACAGCAATATTGAAACTATTAATTAGGTTACTCGCATCAGATTAAAAGGCTGGAACACTAAGAGAAGTGTACCCCACTTCAGGAGCCCAGAAGCCCCCAGCTTTGCTTCCAAATTCAGCCGGAAGTAGCTTCATAGAGATGGAAGTCTTCTTCCTCGGAGGTCTTCCTGTGCTTTGCTGCCTGCTTCCTGACAGGTCATTTTGCTTGAGCAGATGGCACACCTTCTTCTGAGTTCTCCTTTAAGGGCAGCTCCCAGCTACATGGCAGGATCACCTTTGGATACCATTATTCAAGAAGGTGCTAGGTGATTTAAAGATTCTGGGTGGATCTTGTCTTGATCTACATTAATGTCCGACATTCCCTTTGCTCTTCAACCAAATTGGCACTGAGTCATACTTCTCAAAACACATATTTTTATTCCTCACTTGGTTTTCTTTTATTAGTATATAACAAAGAAAAGCACCTTTTAATATGAGAAAACAGGTTGGGCTGTGGTGGCACATGCCTTTAATCTCAGCACTCAGGAGGCAGAGGCAGGCGGATCTCTAAGTATGAGGCTAGCCTGGTCTCCAGAATGACTTCCAGGATGGCCAGGGCTACACAAAGAAACCCCGTCTCAAAAAAGAGAAAAAGAAAAAGAAAAAAATTGCGCGCGCGCACGCGCACGCGCGCACACACACACACACACACACACACACACACACACATATACGAAAAAACAGAAAATGTATCAAGTAGATGTGAATAAACATGTCTGCATATGTCTAAGTCTGCAACAAAAATCATCTTCAATTCACTTAAGGTCATGACAATCATTGTTACTTCTCAAAATAATTCAGATTTATAAATGAGTCTACTTTAAAGATATTGAGAAATATTCTCTAAGGTTTAGATATGAAACATCATGCCCAATGTTTGAGGTAATAATATCCTAAAAGGACCTGTGAGATGGATTAATGGAAATGCACTTGCTACCAAGCCTGACAGCCTGAGTTCAATCCCCAGGACCTACATGATGGAAGGAGAGTATTAACTTCCACAAGTTGACCTCTGACTGTCACATGTGCTCCATGGCACATGCACTCACACACACACACACACATACACACACACACACACAATCAAAATAGTTCTTTTAAAAGAATATATCCCCAAATGACAAAACTTAATACAACAATTCAGAGACTGAAACAATATCCATACTGCCACTTCTTCCTGTACACTAACATTGTGAGGGCTGTTTTTTATGGATTAAATCCTATGAGGGTCAATAAATATAAAGCCAAACACAACTACCTAGTCTAAATGCTAAGCCTGTGCCTCAGAAGTCCCAGATGGAGCCTATCTTTGGTGAGGCAAATGCAATCTGGCATTTCTTGTACTGCAGCTGATATTCTAAGCTATACTGCTGTGAATGCCACA